CTAATGTAACATCTAAGTAATGAGTGACTTTTAAATTGGATTGAATGTCCAATTTAAATCCGAATCCCTTGAATAGCCATTGTAAGTTCTTACGAATTCCGTCACTTTTTCTAGGGGTACATTTATCGATTATTGTTAACTTGTTGTCGTATATATACTTGTGTATTTGGGTAGCAATCTCTCTTTTATACAAGTTTCGTTAAATACGACTGTTGACCATGTTTGCCGTAGTCTCTGAATATGGAATCCAGTGAAGTCCGTAATCTCTTCAATATCAGAGGTCGGCAGTGGAGATATTTTGGGAGAAAAAACAAAATGGCTACCTTTATACACGTCGCATTGAATATTTTGAGTTTTCTGATTGGTTAACCCTTCTATTGATGAACTATAAAATGAGTCAGCTCATTATGACTAGCTCACTAGTACACATATATCCAAAAAACTGCAACAACGGCTGTTAAGGTAGAGCTTTTATTCAATATTTTTTTCTCTGTTTGTGTGTTGGTAATCCGAAAGCATAATATTTTTTCTAAATAAATCCACATTACAACCAAAAACGTTAGCGAGACCAGAAACTTATATGTCTTCTATTTGCAAAAAACAATATATACATATTTTTTTAATAAAATATCATTACAACCAAAAAACGTTGGAACCACTACAATATATTTTTTTTATATATATATATATATATATATATATATATATATATATATATATATATATATATATATAAGCGCAAACACTAATATTCCATGGTTATAATTTATTACATTGGAATCGTAATCACGATCCAATTCATCAGACCTACAAATATATATATATATATATATATCCGAATACAAGGTGGTATAGATAGAATCAAACACTATTTTTTTTTTTAAAAAAAGTGGTTAATACAAAGTAGAGCGAATAATATTTATTTATTTAAACATTATATATATATATATATATATATATATATATATATATATAAAGAAAGAAAGAACAGTAAGATTTATAATCCGGTGTTCTTATAGATATTTTATTTTTACAAAATAGTGCTCAATGTAAATTTACAGAGCATTAATATTATAAATTAATTGATTTAAAATATGTTTTTCCGCTACACAGTTCTAACCATGTTTAAAAAAAATGGAAGCTAAAAGCTTAGAGTTTAATTTTGTAATTAAATTAAAGACATTAGTTCCATTTCATCCTGTGTTGCGAAAAAAAACCATATTTTTAAATCAAATATATATATATATATATATATATATATATATATATATATATATATATATATATATATATATATATATATATATATTTTTTTTACAATCAACACCATCATACATTATGAAATGGACAAAAGTCCGACAATTATTTAAGACATTTTATGTTTATACGTTCTTTTATAGATACAAATATATAGTAGTCAGACTATATGACGGTTCCGTATAGGATACAGGTTCGATTTCTGTCGGAGGACGCATATTTTCTATGACAATTTCTCGGATATTCAGGACGGTAAATGTTGTTAATATTGTTTATTATAAACAGAGCATTTACTTAAATATTTGTATCTATAAAAAGAACGTATAAACATAAAAAATATCTTGAATAATTGTCGGTGTTTTGTCTATTTCATATATATATATATATATATATATATATATATATATATATATATATATATATATGTATGTATGTATAAGGCTCAAACACTAATATTCCATGGTTATAAATTATATATATATATATATATATATATATATATATATATATATATATATATATAATGTGAGAAATGATGACATAAACAGTAATAACAAAACGTGACTTATGAAGGCTGACTTCATTCGTCATTTATGAGTCAGAACTGAGCGGCCACATCTTTGTCCCGTCAGGCGTAACGGTGAAAGAAAATAACTGACGAATCGAGCGGATCTGTGTCGGGAGAAGCCAAACCGTTGCTTCTTTTTCCCTTTCGCGGTGTCCATCTAAAAAAACAAACCCGTATTTCTATATCGAGCTCGTCCGCCAGACATTTTAAATGAAATTTGTTTGGAGAAGCTTTTGACTAAATGTTTCACTTCTTTCTTTTGTTTTTTTTTTTTGTTTTTTTCTCCCTGTTTTCAATTCCATTTGTCAAACAGAATTTCATAACGCGAACGGATTTGACATTTGGCTAGTGCGTTAATCAGAGATTAAAACATTTAAGAATCGATTTCTGTTTCTGGAGATTTCGTTGCGTTTCTATCAAGCTTTCTGTATATGCATCTCTGTATCTTATCGCTCATTCAATTCAATTCAATATCCATAAATCCATATCTTTGCCCCTTTTCTTTGCAACTGTCTGTTTTTCTGACGAGTTGTCGCTGAGCCTATATAGCAATGTATTCATCTCAATCTATTCATATCTATCGAAATATGTTCGTAGCTATCTCAATCTATTGTTATTTTCTTACGTTACTGTACATTTTCTTCCATTGAAGCACACACATATATATATATATATATATATTATAATTAATATATAGAAATATATTTGTAAATAATACTTAAAATATTATGCTCTACCAATATCCAGAAAAGAGCGAACGCAGGACCGTTTTTTTTAACTTTTGAATTTGATGTAACTACTTAACATTTCGATGTTGTCTTTCATCGCTTACTTTGATAAAGTCAAATGACGAAACGCGTTGGCAAGAACTAAGAACTATTTTCCAATTGTTTTTTATCTTCACAATTATTCTGAGAAATTGATACACACACACACACACACACACACACACACACACACACACACACACACACACACAATACATATATATATGGTTTACTTATCTTAGTCGGTGTGTTTTAGCCTTTGAGAGAATTTTAAGAAGGTAAATATGATTTTATATATATATATATATATATATATATATATATATATATATATATATATATATATATATATATATATATATATATATATATATATATATATATATTTTTTGTCGTGAAGTTGCATGTTCCCATGTAACAGTTTTTAATATATATATATATATATATATATATATATATATATATATATATATATATGAACGCGCATTGCTGACGAGTCCTAAAAAAATTTAGGACGAAACGGCCGTCCAGTGCTTTCTGCATTCTGTTGAGTTTTCTTCTAGACTTGATGAATTACTTAATTATAATTATCTCAAATCCTCCTAATTTCTATCACTTGTATATCTTTGCTTGAACCGGCTTCTAATGCTCTTGATGGAGCGACTCAGGTATAGTAGTCGTGCCTCGTGGTGGACACAGTCCTATGGTTAAGGGAAACTCGGATGCGTCCCACCACGGAATATGTGATTGAGCGCCTCTATATCGAGTCTAGTTCGTTACCTCTTCGTCACCGAGTCCAGTTGGTACAGCTGGTATGACATTTGCCTGATAGCGTAACTGTCCGGGTTTCATCTCTCGGTAGTGGATCTGCACTACTGATGTAATCCCAAATATAGGACAAAACGGCCGTCCAGTGCTTTCTGTTGAGGTTTCTTTTAGGCTCGATGAATTACTTAACTATAATTATATTAAATCCTCTTAATAATTTCTATTATTATATACAAATAATAATATATAAAAGCATTATATAAAGTTCATCAAAGGACTTAGACGGCGTGTTTAGTCCTTTGATATACTTTGTCAAGGAAAGTATAAGGTTTTTCGTATATATATGCACATCCTATATTTACCTTGATAAAGTCCATCAAAGGACTAAACGTGCCGGCGAAGATAAGTTTGCTTACATATATATATATATATATATATATATATATATATATATATGTGTGTGTGTGTGTGTTTGTGTGTGTATATGCATATTTGTTTAAAATGTCCTCTACTTATAGAGATAAAATGGATGGTCAGTCTCAGAGTGTTTATAGATAGTATGGACATAGGATCAACAATATATATATATATATATATATATATATATATAGAGAGAGAGAGAGAGAGAGAGATAAATAGATAGAGAGATACAAAAGGTAAAATATAAGGATTTTAGTTTGGCCTTAAAGGAAAGAAGACCATTCGCAAACAGTAAATGAACTGGTTAACGAGCTTGTGTAAATGGATGACAGAAACGTTTGGTAGGGATAGCAAAGTGAAGATCATTGCTTAAAGCTGCAAATGATAGGATGTCGAGGAGAGCCATTATCGTCTACGACCTGAAGTGGCACAGTAAATAAAAGATGATGTTGCAATATTGGGTGACAAAAGCCCGATGACCTTGACTTTGAAGATGTGAAGTTTTGTGGTGTGTGTGTGTGTGTGTGTGTGTGTGTGTGTGTGTGTGTGTGTGTGTGTGTCTTAACATTAAGCGTGTGTATTTTAAGACCCAAGGTGGAGCAGTGTCCGGCAGATATGGAACGGTGTCAACTCTGGAAATTATTAATTATGTTTCATGACCTAATTTTAGTTGATCGACGAATCTGGTGCCGAAGAATTAGAGTCGAGATTACCAGGGAACACTTTTGAGTTTATAATTCATGAGCGACTGGCCAGGCAGAATCTGTCAGCAAGTTGAGCGTCAAAACGTCGTCCAGATATTATATCGAGTGGTCATCTACCAGTTAATCTGGCGGTGTTTTCATCGATCTGCGGACTGAGAGGTTGAAAAAGTTATCGGTCTAACGGGCTTTTTAAAATCGGTACACTAGTAGATCTTTTTTGTCACAAATTTGAGAAACTATGTGTCAAGTGTGTACGGCTTACGGCAATATCAAGTTGTAACATCGGTTTTTGTAAGATGTTGACGAATGTTGACCGCTTAGAAATGTTATAAGCTGGGATATGCAGGTGATATAAGGGGCTTACGACAATATCACCTTGAAACATTGCTTCTCGTCTGATCACCGAAGTTAAGCAACGTTGGGTCTGGTCAGTATCTAGGTGGGTGATCGCTAGATTGTAATCTTGGATGTGCAGATGGTATTGCTTACTGACATATCACGTTAAGACAGTGGTCTCGGTTCTCATCTGATCATCGAAGTTAAGCAAGTTTGACACTGATTAGTACTTAGATGGGTGATCGCTTAGAAACACCAGATGCTGTAAACTGGGGTGCATACGGCTATATTGCGTTGAAACAGCTTTTCTCGTCAGATCACCGAAGTTAAGCAACGTTGGGTCTGGTCAGTACCTAAATGGGCGATCGCTAGAGAATACCAGTTGCTGTAAGCTTGAAAGTACGGATGGCATGGCTTACTGTCATATCACGTTAAAACACTGGTTTTCGGTTCTCATCACCGAAGTTAAGCAATGTTGACGCTGATTAGTAACAAGATGGGTGATCGCTTAGAAACATCAGCAGTTGTGAGCTTGGGTGTGCAGGTTGTATAAAGGGCATACGGCTATATTGCGTTGAAACAGCAGTTCTCGTACGGTCACCGAAGTTAAGCAACGTATGACCTGGTCAGTAACTAGATTGGGAACAGCTTGGGAATATCAGGGGGTGTAAGCTAGTATTTGTGGGAGGTGTAATGGAGAAATCATATAAAATTCGAGATGTATGCATGCAGACGCTTCACTGTGATTAATTCCTGAGTGACTAAGTATCATAGAATATGCATTACATGGCAGTAGGTCATGCATATGCATTACATGGCAGTAGGTCATACACTTTATGGCCGGGCATATGCATTACATAGCAGTAGGTCATTCCGTTATTGGTCATGCATATGCATTACATGGCAGTATGTCATACACTTTATGGTCAGGCATATGCATTACATGGCAATAGATCATTCCTTTATTGGTCAAGCATATGCATTATATCGCAGTAGATCATTCCTTTATTGGTCAGGCATATGCATTACATGGCAGTAAGCCATTCTTTTATTGGTCAGGCATATGCATTACATGGCAGTAGTTCATTTCTTTAATGGTCAGGCATATGCATTAAATGGCAATAGATCAATCCTTCATTCGTCAGGTATATGCATTACAGGACACTAGATCATTCCTTTATAGGTCATGCATATGCATTACATGGCAGTAGGTCATACCCTTTATTGGTCAAGCATATGCATTATATGTCAGTAGGTCATTCTTTTATTGGTTAGGAACATGCATTACTTGGCACTCGGTCATTCCTTTATTGGTCAGGCATATAGATTACACGGCAGTAGGTCAATCCTTTGTTGGTCAGGCATATGCATTACAGGGCACTATGTCATTCGTTTATTGGACAGGCAAATGTATTACATAGCAGTACGCTATTTATTCATTCGTCAGGCATATGCATTACATGGCAGTAGTTCATTCCTTTATTGGCCAGGCATATGCATTGCATAGCAGTAGGTCATTCCGTTATTGGTCATGCATATGCATTACATGGCAGTAGGTCATTCCTTTATTTGTCAAGCATATGCATTATATGGCAGTAGGTCATTCCTTCATTCGTCAGGCATAAGTATAATCATGGCAGTATGGCATTCCTTTATTATTCAGGCATATGCTTTATATGGTACTCGGTCATTCCTTTATAGTTTAGGCATATATATTACATGGCAGTAGGTCATTCTTTTTTGTCAGGCATATGCATTACATGGCTATACGCCATTCCTTCATTCGTCAGGCATAATTATTACAGAGCGCTAGGTCATTCCTTTATTGTTCAGGCATATGAATTACATGGCAGTAGGTCATTTCTTTATTGACTAGGCATAGTCTTTATATGGCACTAGGTTATTCCTTTATTGGTCAGGCATATGCATTATATGGCAGTAGGTCATTCCTTTATTGGCCATGCATATGCATTACATGGCAGTAGGTCATTCCTTTTTTCGTCAGGCATATACATTACATGACAGTACGACATTCCTTTATTATTTAGGCATATGCTTTATATGGCATTAGGTTATTCCTTTATTGGTCAGTCATATGCATTACAGGACATTATGTCATTCCTTTATTGGTTAGGAATATGCAGTACTTGACAGTCAGTCATTCCTTTATTGGTCAGTCATATGCATTACAGGGCATTATTTCATTCCTTTATTGGTCAGGCATATGCATTACATAGCAGTACGTCATTCATTCTTTCGTCAGGCATATGCATTACATGGCAGCAGTTCATTTCTTTAATGGTCAGACATATGTATTACATGGCAGTAGGTTTATTCCTTTATCGTTCAGGCATATGCACGACATGGCAGTATGTCATTCTTTTATTCATCAGGCATATGCATTACGTGGCAGTAAGTCATTCCTTTATTGGTCAGGGATATGCATTATGTGGCAGTAGGTCGTTTTGTTATTCGTCACGCATATACATTACATGGCAGTAAATCATTCCTTCATTCGTCAGGCATATGCATTACTTGCCAGTAGGTCATTCCTTCATTCGTCAGGCATAGGCATTGCCTGGCAGTAGGTCATTCCTTCATTCCTCAGGCATATGCATTACAAGGCAGTGGGTCATTCCTTTATTCGTTATGTATATGCATTACATGGCAATTGGCCATTCCTTTATTCGTTATGTATATGCATTACATGGCAGTAGTTCATTCATTCATTCGTCTGGCATATACATTACATGGCACTAGGTCATTCCTTTATTATTCAAACCTATGCTTTATATGGCACTAGGTCATTCGTTTATTGGTTAGGCATATGCATTACTTGGCAATAGGCCATTCCTTTATTGGTCAGGCCGTGAATTATTCCTCACGACTTACACCTGAATTTCAGAAAAATATTGCAAATTTCGACAAAATTCGAATTAGCATGCGATTTGTTTGTGTTGTCTATTTGTTTTCTTGACTAAATTTTCGCACAACTCAATGCTTGTGAGCCACTTATGGTAGAGGATTAGAGTTAAAATTGTATCGATATGTGTGGGACTTATGCGGGAAAGTGGTACTTATGCGGGAAAGAAGAAAGATTAAGTTTAGCTTCGCTGATCTTTGAAACGGGTGTAGACGTATATTCATTGTTTCCTGATTAGGATTGGATTCCCCGTTGCTTCTAATGTCTTCTCATTCTCTTTCACTCCCAATAGCCTCCCCTTGTGTCTTAGTGGCATTATCACCTTCCTTGAGGTGTATTTATAAAAAAAGAAACAAAGAAAACAGTTTTGAACTGCTATGTAATATCAATTCTCCTACATAGCAATAAATATTGAACAATCTTCTAATAAATGAAGAAGAGACTTGAAGCAACATAAATATGGTTCTACAGAAGGATGCTGAGAATATCATGGAAATAGTGACAAAATAACGACAGGCTGGATATATGGCGTCTCTAGAAACGATTGATTTGGATTTTATAACTTATCGATAAGTTATAAAATCCAAATCACCGAGTTCCAATTCCTATCTATTATCCATTACACCACCCGCACACTCAAGCTAACAGTGTCTGTTATTCGTAAACGGTCACCCATCTGGGAACTGGCTTGACGTTGCTTAACATCGGTGATCGTATGAGAACCGTGTAAATGATTTTAAATCTGGAAAGTGATAACTGTACAGTTCCAGCCCTGATCAGATAACTGTACAGTTCTAGCCCTGATCATATATCTGAACAATTCCAGTTCTGACCAGATAATTGAACAGTTCCAGCGCTGACCAGATAACTGACCAGTTCCAGCAATACTCATTTTTTTTTAGCTTGTCTGACTCTTTTAACGTTTGTCACTCTGGATGTGATTTCATTTGATGTGCAATCAGTTTATCCTATCACTGAATTTAAATTTGTTTAAATTTCATAATTGTGTTGTCACACCCTGCTATGGCAACGGAAAATGCATTTGAGTGAAATTAAAAAGTGGAAAGGAAGTAATAGTAATAATGCAGAATACTAAACTAAAAAACCTGTTAGCGTGCCAAAAGTCCGTAATAATTTAATTATTATTGTTTATTTAATTATTCACGCCCTCAAATTTGATAATTTGTTCTCCATGCGTGGAGTGCAATTTCTTTATCTGATTCGCCTATATATATATATATATATATATATATATATATATATATATATATATATATGTATGTATGTATAATTAGGAGATCAAATTATTTTGAAATTTAAAAGCTCTACACATTAAATTTTTATTTTTATTTTCTTTGTCTTTTGAGAAGGTTTAATATAAATATTTCCTGGTGTAATTTAACTCTAATCAATAACAGTTTTTAATTATATATATATATATATATATATATATATATATATATATATATGTGTGTGTGTGTGTGTGTGTGTGTGTGTGTGTGTGTGTGTGTGTGTTTGGATGGATGTATGTATAAGTGAACATTGAAATCAAAACTTAGAGGCGACAGACTGTTTCATGCTAAACGCAATCATCAGGCCTGATGATTTGCGTTAGGCGTATATAAACAATTCCCTGAGTGTTGACTTCAATGTTCACTTTTTACTTCTCTGATGTTGATCACTTTATCCTATAATATAGCATACCTTAAAACCATATTTCTTCATATATATATATATATATATATATATATGTGTGTGTGTGTGTGTGTGTGTGTGTGTGTGTGTGTGTGTGTGTGTTATATATATCTTAAATTTATGTATATATATATATATATGCATAAATTTAATTATATGAACATATATGTACATATGTTACATTTACACACGTATTTTATATATGTATATATATATATATGTATATATATATTTTTATATATGTATATATATATATTGTATATGTATATATATATATGTATATATATGTACATATATGTAACAGTTACACACGTATTATATATCAATATTCTATATATATGTGTATATATATATATATATATATACACACATCTACACAAATATAATATATATACGATATTATTATTATTATATATATATATATATATATATATATATATATATATATATATATATATATATATATGAATGATACAAATGCAATATTCTTTCCTCTGTTTGATAATTGTGTTTTATTTTATGATATGAATCTCTCCGTGTATAACGGCGTGCATGGTGTTGGTCGTGATTTTTTAGAGGTGGCGCGCCACGCTCATCTATTGCAGTAATAGTGAAAAAGAGGCTGACGGTGATAGCAGTCGGATGTTATATCTTCCCCAAAACACTCTCTGGTTATTTTTCTCTTTCAATCAATAAGAAGATGACTAAGCAACGGTTTGTACTTTCTGAATATGTCAATAAGAATTCACTTTGAGAGAAACGGATTCACCGTTGTGCAATGGTAATGCGTAAAATCGAGTTGAGGTGGAGGTCGTATAGAAAATAGGGAGTGCGTTCATTGTTCGATGAGGAAGAAGATGGGATAGAAGCGAGAGGTGTAAGGAGAATAGAAAGAAAGAGAGAAGAAGAAGAAGAAGAAGAAGAAGAAGAAGAAGAAGAAGAAGAAGAAGACGTGGAAGAAAAAAAAAGAAAAAGAATTAAGCTGAACAAAGAAGGTAGGGAAAAAAAAGAAAATGGAGAAACAGGGATAATTAAATAAAAATGATGATGAAATAATGAAGGAGAAACAAGAATGAATTATAGCGAATGAATAAAGAGGGAGAAGAAAAAATGTCGATAAATGAAAAGTAAAACGAAAGGTTGAAATAACGAAGAGGAAGAAGAAGGGAAGAAACAAGAGGAATGGAGAATCGGGAGATAGAGGAAGAAAATAAATTAATAAAAGAAAAGTGAAATAAAGAAAAAAACATAAACAGACGAGAATAAATTATGAATGCAATATCAGAATGTAATAAAGAAGAAAAAGTAGAAGAAAATCGTATAATAATAATAATAATAATAATAATAATAATGGGAAGAAGAAGAAGAAGAAGAATTTCCTTCTGTGCCCAGCTCTTGGCGCTCTTTTTTCTATTTTACGTTCTAGTTTTTTTACGTCTTTCTCGACATAATTATGATGATAACGATGATAATGATCATGGCGATGAATGAATGAAATAACAAAACAAAAAAAAAGAAAGAAAGAAAGAAAGAAAAATAAAGAACAAGTCTGATAAAGACAAGAAGAAGAAATTACGAATGATATCTAAGAATGAAATGAAGATGATCAAACTTGAATGAATTAAAAACTTAAATTACATTTATGAAAAAGAAATGAATAAAATAAAATAAGAAACAAGTACGAAGAAGAAGAAGAAGAAGAAGAAGAAGAGGAAGAAAAGAACGAGAGAAATAATAGAATAAATTAGAAGAGAAAAATAGTGAGAATAAAATAGACAAGTAGAAGAAATGACGAATGAAGCACAGGAATAAATTAATGGAAAGAAAGTAAAAAAAAAAACGTCATTACTTGAGAAACGGCCATGCAAATTGGGAGAAAAAGAAGAATGTCTGAGTAGAAAGACGTAAAGAAAATTAGAAAAGGAAACTGGAAAAGGACGAAAGAGAGAAAAAAAAAAAAAAAAAAGGAAAAATTAGAGATGAAATAACGTTTATCAAAAAATGCAGGAATCGCAATATTCAAGATCGAACACCCAAGTCGATGAAGAACGTCATCTCGATACATTCACTTGTACAGCCCAAAGAGTCAAAATCAATATATATATATATATATATATATATATATATACAAATAAAAGAACAGTCATTTCTTTAGCATTTATTTTTGTAAAAAGTAAATAAAACTATTAATATATATGTGCGTGTGTGTGCGCTCGAAAATTTTGCTACATTAATGGAAAAAAAGTGCACTGCATCGGGGAGAGAGTGGCGTTTTTTTATATAGATATTCAGATCTGATGATCACTAAGGCGTGAAAATGACAGTCATCAGGCTATAAATACACACACACACATATATATATATATATATATATATATATATATAATGTAATAATAAAAAATAAAAACTGTCAGTGGATAGAGAACCACTCTGTTGAGATTTAATTCCTGGTGCATGATTTTAAAAAGTGCTCGATTTTATTTAACAAATAGAGCGAATAAGAAATCGAATTAAAAGGAAACTGCAAACCACTTTCCACTGCACACAGACGCAAAAACACACACAGGCACACACACAGAGATACAAACACAGACACACACACACACACACACACACACACACACATATATATATATATATATATATACATACATATATTGTGTATTTGGGCAGCAATCCCTCTTTTATACATGTTTCGTTAAAGACGTCTGAAAAAGTACTGCAATTAAGATTTTTATTTTTTATTTTTCTTGTGTTCAGACAAGTGTTTACTTTTCTGGACACAAAGTGTGTAACAATTGTCCAAAAGTTCTGCAAATCCCAGCGCTTTCGGCTATTCTTTTAGCTATTATCAAGGGCGATCTTTACTTTTTTTTTATCTTTAACTAAATGTGTGTCTGTTTTTTTTATTCATGTATCTAAAGTTATAGAAATGTTTTATTTTCGGAACACGGCCAGCACATTTTGGTCGTGTTCATAGTTAATGTTATTGAGTGTTGGCTTTCCTTTATTATTACGGCTTCCATTATTTTTTAAATCTTTTTTAACATATGGATGAGTCGATTATACCTGTATTTTCTACTAGTATATTTAAATTGAGACTTAATTGTGATATAGTCGGGTAGGTGCAACGTGAGTCGTCAAGATATGCTTGTAGTAGTATGACCAATGTAATTATGCGTTTGGTTTGATCAAGCACACATTTGTACTAATGTTGGATCTTTGTAGCTTAGATTTTACGGGTGTGTTGTTATTTAGTTTAACTGTTTAAAATTTTTTTGCGATAGATAATTTAATTTTCATGTTCACGTCGACTGGGGTTATATAATTCTTTATGATATATCTATGAGAAAATTCGTCTTGCATACAGTTCATGTATATTTCGCTTTTGTAGAAAATCCATCCGAAACATACTCGTAGATAATACAAGTATAACAGATTCATCCACGTAAAAAAAGGAAAAGATTAAACATAATGGAAGCCCTAATAATAAAAAGGAAAAGCCAATGATCAGTAACATTAACAATGAACACGGCCACAATGTGCTGACCGTGTTCGGAAAATAAAACATTCCTATATCTTTATACACATAGTTTAAAAAAAAACATATTTAGTTTAAAATAAAAATCACCCTTCATAATGGCTAAAAGAATAGCCGAAAAACGCTCGGATATGCAGAACTGTTGGACAGTTATTAAACGGCGTGCAGAAAAGAAAACACTTGTCTGAACACAAGAAAAATTAAATAAAATGGTTAATTGCAGTACCTTGTCTGTTGTCTTTAACGAAACATATAAATATATTTTAAGACATTATTCTTTTTATAGATACAAATATTTTAGTAAATGCTCTTTTTATAATAAACAGTATTAATAACATTTAGCGGCCTGAATATCCGAGAAATTTGCTTAGAAAATATTCGTCTGCCGACAGGAATTGAACCTGTATCCTATAAGGAACCGTCATATAGCCTGACGTGCCTTTAACCGCTCGTTTAGCAAGGTCGATTTTACTGTCTTTAAACTACAATCTTCCATGAATCTCTCACGTACATTCATATCTGCTCAAAGCGTATCCAAATGTAAACAAATGACGTCACACACTATGAAATGGACAAAGTCCGACAATTATTTTAAGACATTTTTATGTTTATACATTCTTTTTATAGATACAAATATTTAAGTAAATGCTCTGTTTATAATAAACAGTATTAAACAACATTTACCGGCCGGTAAATTTTTCTATGAAAAATTCTAGGACATTCTGGCCGATAAATGTTATTAATACAAAACAAAAATATTACCAGAAATAGATTTTTGACAAAACAAAAATATTACCAGGAAAAAAAAGTTGTCAGCATTAAATGACCCATTGAGGTTGATATGCTGTAAAATAAACATACCAAACCAAATCAAAATCACCGTTTTTATCTAAAGCACGATAGACTCTTTCCGAAATTATCGTTAATATATCAGCAGATGATGTGGAGAAAGGAAAGCCGTATTGCTTGTCTGAGAAAAGGCCGTGATGAGAGATGATTGACTAATTCAGCATAGATTAGGGCCTCTAGGAATTTCCCCAAATGAAGCAGAAAGATAATAGGCCGATAGATGGGTCGGTCGGATCACCAGAGTTCTTAAAAATAGAACAACAGGTGATAACATCCAGCATGCGGGAAAGCAGGAGGTAAGGAGGCAATTATTATACAGTTTAGAGAGAACAGGAGCCAGTTCAGGAGCACATTTCTTGATGACTATTACAGGGATGCCGTCCACGTGCTTTGAGGGGATGAAGGTTAGAGGTGATAGCAGAAACCCTGGAAGGGGTTATATGCATATCACTCAGGCTAAATGTTCTAAATGTTGCTGCAGCTTTATCAGCCATCAAAACAGAGTCACCTCTACGCAACATCAAGACTAGCATCTTTCCACATCTATCTGTCTATATTTCTGAGATGAGGTATTAGGTACACTATTTACATTATTCGGACTATTGTCCTCATCTTTGCCGCCATATTTATTACAACGTTTCGGCCGTTGTATGCTCCGGCCTCCTTCAGGTGTTTGGAATGTCGAACTGAACGCTTTATTTCGCTCACTGGGATAGACTGTTCTAGTTCTACGTGCCATGTTTAATGGATGTCAGTTAATGAGATGTTCTCTTTTTTGTGTTTGTGACCCAAATGTCTTTATTGAACTGGCATATCGAGAATATTTAACATCGAAAAGTACAAAGAAAAAAAAAAATTTTTTTTAATAATATGTGTAAATCTCTACACTTTGCCTGGTGACGGTCGCTTGTCGAGAAACACGTGTAGTAAAATTATGTAAAATAAAGCATAATATTTTTTAAAAATCCACCTTACAATCCAAAAACGTTTTGCGGTTTCTCTCTTCTTTTTAATATACACACTTTTCTCTCGTTGGAATTACTATAACCTCTTCCTTATATATATAAAAGCGAACATTGAAGTCAACACGCAGAGACGACAGGCTGTTTCGTGCTAGCAATACACGGACGAAACAATAATGATAGTATGTTTTTTGTTGCATGAAAAATTTCAAAGCAACGACAAACTCGTGTATACGAGACGCGGGAGTGAAAATCGCGTCGCAGCTAGTGACGTCACACATGACCACGAGAGAGTGAAAACGCGAAGTATTATGTATGGGAAGCCGTTGGTATAAAGCAATGGCTTCTGTTATTAATTATAGGCATTTAAGAATATTTGTGGAGATTTCTTTCAATGATAATGTTATTAAGCTTATCAGACAATATGAAAGGAACTTAAAATAAATAGACAAAACTTGTCTATATTATTTAATGGAACATGCATTAATGAAAAAATGATGCCAAAATATACACATATATATATATATATATATATATATATATATATATATATATATGAGTATATACTTTTCTTGTAGTGTGTGTTTATTTTACGTGTGTAAAGGTGAAAATGGTTTTGTCATGAGCCATTAGGGTGAATGAAAAGTGCATCTTCAAAGTCCATAAGTGACCGTTCTTTTTATGAGGATTTGAATAAAAAGGATTTTAAAAGCTTGTGAAGTATTTCTGGAACTTCTAAATCGAAAAATATCGTTGAAAAAATGAGATTAAATACATTCATTTTAGAGTATATTCGTAATGAACCTACATACTTATATCGACAGTTGCGCTGAGGACATTTACAATTGACTTTGGCGCGCAAAGTAGCTAAAATTGTAGCCTTTCTGTCTTGTGCGAAATAAAACTGCCGATTTCCCAAGTGAACGCGTTCCTTTGATAGGACAACTTAATATCATGTAAAACTGTGTTTTAACATTTGCTTTGAGGCAAGACTTTTATTTTTCTGTGAACTTTCAAAGACATTTTCTTGGTGTTGCCGAATAAACATCAGTTTTAAATATATGTGTGGTTTGAAGTTGCTTTTATCAAAAAGAACTTTCAATATGTATGTCTCCAGCTAATACAATTCGAGATAATCAAAACATGCTAGTTGCACTCTGAAGCGCTAATTCTGTGTCACGTATATTTTCATTTGACGAGAATCCAATTGATGGGGTCGCGAGGTGGACGAAAATTTCTAAGCCCGTTACATCTCCCCAAATCATTATTCTCATGTTGATTTAAAAGACATATTGATTTTTCGGTTAACTTGCAGTATAAGCACCAAAAACCCACGGTAATGAAAATGTTACATTATGGTGTGAAATTGCTTGATGATTTTGAAAATGGCATTGAAAGTTTGCTCGATTACTGTTTAGGATTTAAATGTAGGTTCGATCTCTTTCGCATTGTCCGGCCGCCATTTCTGGCCTAGTTTACAGACATTTGCCTCAAGTAATAATGAGCGGAAGCTTACTTAGTTAATGGCCTTTTTACTGCTTTCCGCATCTTCTTACTCGTCTTGATTACTGCGCAATTTTCGCAAAAAATATTTTAAAATGCGCGTTTGTATTTTTTTAAATGAAGCTTTAAATTAATAGATTTTTAATTGTTATAAATTCCTTTTTTTAATTAAAAGTATTATTTCTTTGTAGAAATGAAACTTTATTAAATAATGAATTCTTTTTTTTTATTAAATTAATTTTTCTAAATAAATATAATGTCAGGGTTGAACCCTTTTTAAGAAAAAAACACAAAAAAAAACATCGTTGAAAAAAAAAAGGAAAACATCATTGTTTTTTATCGTTCAGGCACATAATTTCTATTTTATTTTAATGGTCGGATTTTATGGAAACTTACAGGACACAAGTTTTTTTCATTTTTAGTACTACAGTGTAACCCGGATATAAGAGGGTTGTCGGGACCGGAGAAGAAGTCTCTTATATCCGGGTTTCTCTTCTATTCGAGTTTGGTCTATTTTATATACATTAACACAGGCTCTAATTTGGGACCAGAAAAAATCTCTCTTATACCCGGGTTTCTGTTATATCCGGGTCTCTTATATCCGGGTTACACTGTATATTTGGAATCGCGCATTCATTTTAAATTTCGTGCATTTCACAGTAATCAAGACAAGTGAAGCCTCCGCGCTTTACTGCTTGAAGCAAAAGTATGTAAACAAAGCCATTAATGGCGGCCGTTCTGTCGACGCGAAAGAAGTCGAAATTACATTGTCCATAACTCTTAAACGGTAATAGAGAGCGCAAACTTTTAATGTCATTTTGGAAATAATCAGGCAATTTCACACCATAATGGAACATTTTCATTACCGTGGGTTTTTGGTGGTTATTCTGCAAATTAACCGATTTTTCAAAGTGGTTTATGTATGCTTAGATGGTTGTCTATTTCCGGATTACGAACACACCCTTCTTCCCGGTCGACTAACCAGACCCTATTACAAACGCCTGCTCAACCCACAGAAACCCACCTATGGTTTATATTGAAACTAAGCTAAGGGATTCTTAGTTTAAGTTTCTTTTGGGGGCGGGGTGACGTATAATCCGGTGTAATCATTTTTTTTAACAAAGTCGGCACGCTCAACACCTCGGTCACAATGACGTATGACTTTGTACTTGCACAGCCATTGATGTTTTGTTTTTTTTAAACGGTTCATCCTACCCAATTTTACTCGCATGATTTTCGGACATTTTCCAAAGATCGATAACATCAATGTCGTCCTCTTGATGTTGTAAGATTCGAACCCGTGTCTAATGACCAGAAAGTGAACGACCTAACCGCTTAGCTATGCGCCATATTTTAAGGGCGCCATAAATAGATATATAAGACTATAACAAAACAAATAATCATGAAAATGTCAACGACTAAAATATTATTTTTTTAATTTTCTGACATAGTAATTGTGAGTTCAATCCCAGGGCCGGGCAGTGTCTATTTGAACACAGCGGAGATATTAACTGAGCAGTACTAAAAATAAAAACTAGACGAGATATCCCTAGACAAGTGCTGTGGAACGAGAACAATCCACCCACGAAAATTAAATAAAGAGTTCAGTTTGGAATTTCCTGTAGATTACCCGGATCGATATAAACCTGATAAAGGTCGGAGGTCACAACGGTTAAATAGTTTTGGTGACTGTGAGGACAATACTCAACATGTAAATAGTCAAAATAATGTTAACTCGTCAACCTAGAAATTCAGACAGGCGTGGAATTAAATCAGAGAGGTCATCTTTATAAATTTGACATGTTTCGCTATTTAGTTGGCTTCATCAGAAATTCTGGAATGGAATGAAAAAAAAAACAAAAACAAAAAAACATTAGGATCCAATAGGATTTAATCGGATTTTCAACTCTATAGGTGTATATGCATGTGTTAATACACACACAGGCACACACTGACACACGCACTCCAACGCATACACCTCTCAAGAAAACGTTATGACAACCTGGCTAAGAAATTATCCGTCTTGTTGTTCAACGAAGAAAAAAGTTCGTTTTGTACAAGAAAATGGTATTTTTTTTTTTTACAATAATCCAAAACAAGAAATTGTGGCGGGGTCAAGATCAGTTGTCAGCATTTCAATCTAAACGGATTATCCTCGGAAAAACAGTTTATTTCGCTGCGGCTAATAGGAAAGTGCATTCGAAAATAACAAGGGTCAACAATTACGCGACTGGAACAGAAGAAGATTAGAAAACGAACATGCTTGATACGGATTTCTTCTTCTTCCTCTTCTTCTTCTTCTTCTTCTTCTTCTTCTTCTTCTTCTTCAAGTTTTGAAAACCTTATTCTGATAATAATAATAATAATAATAATAATAATAAGAAGAAGAAGAAGAAGAAGTTAGAAAATCAAGTATAAATATAAGGAAGGAGAAATGTGACAAAATAGACAACAATAAGAAATTACGAACGAAACACAAGAATAAATTAAAGAATAAAGCAAAGAAGAAAAAATAAAGATGAAACAAAGGAAGAATTTTCGGTGAAACAGATGAGAAGGAAAATAATGAATGAGGTGCCAGAATGAAAAAAAGAAGAAAAAGAAGAAAACCTCGAGTAATAACCAGAAGAAGAAGAAGAAAAAAAGGGAATGATGATAATGATGATCATAATCCTGACGATGAATGAATTAAATAACGAAGAAGATAGGAAAAAGAAGGAGCGAGGATGAAATAGACAACAAGAAGAAATTACGAATAAAACCCAAGAAGGAAATAAGGATAAATAAATACTCGAATAAATGAAGAAGTCATGAAAAGGAAATGAAGAAGAGAAATAAATGAGAAACACGGATGTAACAAAGAAGAAGAAAAAAAAAAAAGAAGAAAAAAAAAAAAAAAAGAAAAGAAAAAGAAGTAGAAAAAATGAAGAAAAGGAGAATAAAAAAGAAATGAAGAAGAAAAAGAAGAAAAAAGAAATGAAGAATAAAAAAAAAGAAAAAGCTGAAGAAAATAGTTTTTGTTTGTCAGGACAAGAAGAAAAAAAAAAAAAAAGAAAAAACGGGTGAAATAATAGAATAAAGAAGAAAATGAGATAATCGAGGAGGAAACTAACAAGAAGAAATTATGAATGAGGTAAAAGAATGAATTAATGAAAAAAAAACAGCAAAAAAATACAAATGCGTATAAATGACAAACGGGTTTGAAATTTAGGAGAAACGGAGTGAATTATGTCGAGAAAGACATAAAAAAATAGGACGTAAAATAGAAAAAAGAACGCCAAGAGCTGGGAACAGAAGGAAATTCTTATTCTTCTTCTTCTTCTTCTTCTTCTTCTTCTCTCTTTATATTATATAAGTTTGGAAAACCTTATTTAGCAGAATGTCTTCAACTGTGCTTATTATACAATATATTAGAAAAGAGTGACGTAAGTTCTTTTAAATCACTATTCATAGTATTTTTACGCGGTTTAGCTCGACTTTCGCCTTTCTTTTACTTGCAAAGGAAGGTTCTAAGCTTGACAAAAATTCTTTATTTTTAATCAAGCATCTTAACAGGCGATCTTTTATCCGAGAATTTCACTTTACTCGTTTTTAACGTAAGAAATTACATAAAACAAGCAAAGAAATACAATTCAAAACTAAACTGTGTTCGTTTTATGTTAACACTTTCTTTCTTCTTAAATCCACCTATTTTGGGCGGTTTTTTTTTCTACCGTCATCTTTTCTCAAATTTATTATTCTTTAATGTTTACTGCATTTTTTTAATACTTTTCGAATCCATTTTTTTCCTTTCGCGTTATTTTAACCGATTTTCCTGTTCTCCTGCCTCTTGCTGTTTTCTCACCTTTCGCTATCGTCTGCTTTTCACTGAAATTCGCCATTATTTCTTTCCTCGCTTGCATTGATTTTTCCCGCCTTTTTTCCGTTCAAATTTCTCTGTGTCTTACGATCCAATCGGTAAAGAAACGTTGACAAGAAATGGTGTTCTTGTTCTATAGACACATTTCCTAATGCACTTTTTTACATTAGCGACAAAAAGAAATGCCATATATATATATATATATATATATATATATATATATATATATATATATATATGTAACAAAACAATTGTTAAAAGCAGCCAGCAATATGTTAAATTGTTCTAAAAGTAATATCGTATTTTGGGGAACGTAAAATGTATTGTTGTCAGGAAAAGCAATAGCTGAACAAGCAAATTACAAATTAGACATCCTAAAATCAAGTAAGTAAGCCAATTTAAATGTCTGGAAAGTGTTTTAATAGAGGACGGAAAGTGCGATATTAAAATCCGAAGGCACATTGTCCTAGCCAAAGATGCATTTCAAAAGCTAAGCAGAGTATTAAGAAACAGAAAAAACTTCATTAGAAACAAAGAAAAGTGTACTAAAAGTGATATCAGTCGTCATACCGGGTGTAACAGCAAAATTGTTCAAATCGTGTAACAGCATGGGAGAATTGTCCATCCCACAAAATATTTAATATCTAAAAAAAAAAAACATTAAATAATTGAGTTTCTTTTTTTCCAGGTTTTCACATAAGACGTTTAGCCATTTTGACACCATTTGCCGTAAAAATTACTGAAAAAAAAAACCTTTTTTATGTGTTCTCAAGGACAAATGGCACAGTGGATAAAGGCGTTGGTTAGATCCAGTAACAGGACCCAAAGAGTGTGAGTTCAATACCAGGTTAAGGCGGTGGAGAACTTTCAGAGGGAAATTAACAGGAGATAACTGATAACTGACATCCATCAAACATGGCACGTGGAACTAGAACAGTCTACCCCAGTAAGCGAAATAAAGGGTTAAGTTCGACATTCCAACCACCTGAAGAAGGCCGGAGCGTACAACGGCCGAAACGTTGTAATAAATATGGCGACAAAGATGAGGACAATAGTCCGAATAATGTAAATAATTAACTTTGTTGTTTTTTCTTTAAACCGACAGATCAAGGCAGCCTTCTGGATGGAACGGTCTGGGTTAAGACAAGTTATTATAGAATATTTGATATAATGGCCCTCCTCCGAAACACTGCATAGTTTTCTGGTTCGTTCTCTCCAGAAGGTTGCCGACCCTTGCTCTCGAAAAGGATTCTGTAATTAGTTGTTAATGGTAACTGAATTATTGTACATGATTTTCTTTTGTCATTAAAAAAAAATGACTCGTAAACCAGTGGACCAATTAAACTGAAAGTTGTGTTAATACGCAATTTAGGACATTTTAACGGTATTTTTAAATTTCTTTGATTACGTAGGTGATCATGACTCTCTGTAGATCCCGTCTCTTGTCTGAGAATTGCCATGACTTCTTAGGAAAGACAGTGTAGTGGTTTCTAGTTGCTTTCTCGACGGTTTGAAATGCAGAATTTCCATTAGATTAACCTACTTGCACAGCAAGGCTAGATAACGTAGTCTACTTTACTATAAGACCCATGACAAGGAGTTTTGGGAGAAGAGATATATTCATGCCTTTCGCGAAGGAACGCAGAAGACTAAGCTGATTTCGTTTTCGGCGTCGATAACTTCCACACCCGGCATTACGCTAACAAAACAGCGCTACAATGTGCCGTCTTTGCTGTGAAACAAACATAGAAAAATCATAGCGAATTCGGATCATTATATTACAGATGACAACTCCCATATTGGCAGTAATTCTTTTGTTCCTTATTGAACGAATCAGAACTGATCTCTTGTTTACTATCCAAGAATTTTTCTCGCAGAAAAAAAACAAAAACCTCTGTTTCCAACGATCCAATGTTCTTGTATTGTCATTCTTAAAAATAACGGTCTTTTTGTTGTCTAAAAGTAGAAATTCATGTCGTCAATCATTCCTCAACTTATTCAACATCTATCATGATTTGCTTGTTCTTGCTACTCAGTAAAAATAAAAATAAAAATATTGGTATATGCTGCCGACAGTTCAGTAAGACATTATATTTTGGTTTTGTTGCGGACATAGATTTTTGCCAAGTTCTTTTAACAAGGAATATAAGAATGTGTTCTATTTTGTTTTTGTTAAGAATGATAATGGCGTTCTTGGCAAATATGTTTGTGCAATCAGAATGGACTATGACTTTATTTTAGAAAATATGGTCTTACTTTCTTAACAACGGAATATTTAATACGACAAATTCAGTGCCTCAAAAACTGTGTTTTTTTCGTTTTTTGTTTTGTTTTGCCGAAAGATCAAAAAATATAGAGAAGTAAGCGCAATAATATCTATCTATATCTATATCTAGATAGATAGATAGACATTAAATAGAGATTTTATAGGTATTTAAGATATATATATATATATATATATATATATATATGCAGCGAGATAGATAATCTTAAATGACTATAATGGATAACAGTAGCCATTGTTTTATACCAACGGCTTCTCATACTTAATACTTCTCGTTTTCACTCTCACGTGGTCATGTATTACGTCACGAGTTGCGATGCGATTTTCGCTTCCGCGTCTCGTATACACGAAGTTGTCGTTGCTTTGAAATTTTTCATGCAACAAAAACAGACTATCATTATTGTTTCGTCCGTGTATTGTTTGATATATTGAAATGCAATTGTCATCTTTGATAATGCCTTATGTAAGCCGAAAGCTTAGGTTGGATTGAAACATGTATCAATATGGTGATTTCCTTTCGTCTTTCAATGATAATGTTATTAAGCTTATCAGACAATATGAAAGGAACTTACTTAAAATAAATAGATAAAACTTGTCTATAATATTTAATGAAACATGCATTAATATATATATATATATATATATATATATATATATATATATATATATATATATATATATACCCGTATTCGAGGATACACGTCTACTAGGTCGGATAGCCAATCCTTATTGAAGATGCTTGCTCAGGCAAATTTTTGTTTGTTCAAAATCTATTTTTAGGTTTATTTTATATAACTATGCTCTTTTATTCGTTACAGTGAGGGATAGGAAATAGCATATATTAAAAGGAGGTAGCGTGCTATTTGATCTTGAAACAAAGCCAGCACATTATATATTTATTTACGATGACTTGAACTTCGTGTATGAAAGCTATCGAGTATCCCAAGGGTCCGTCTATTCAATTTCATAGACAAAAACTTGGGCCAACCTATGGTATAATTTTTCAGATACTTCCCAAAGGTGCCGCACACTGGGATTTTTTTTTTTATTATTTATATATATATATATATATATATATATAATATATATATATATATATATATATATATAATTTTTTTTATTATATATATCCCATAAAAATGCATAAAATAATATAATAACGCTTACTTAATAATAAAATAAATTATATATTTCGTACATTTATTTTCTTATATCAGGGACATGGCACATGATACATTGGATACATTTTTATTTAATAAATCTTTTATCTACAATTCTTTTCAACCTTGTATTTTTTCAACGCTATTCAGGTTAGAAGCTTCGAAAATTCCCTTTTAATACAATTATATTTTTTGCTATTAATAACACAAATCGTAATGATTAAAAAAAAACAACAAAGAACAAGATTAAGACAATTAAAAAAAAAAGAAACAAATTGATTTCATTTGCATTCGTCACTGGCTGTATAAATGAAAAGATATATTTTCTTAATTCTACTTCTGTTCAAGGGAGCCACCTTTCTGTCGGATTCGCCATTTTATCTTTCGCCTTTTCTAAGCAAGCGTTTTTATGCAATTAGAAGATTTCGTCTCATTGCATCTAATCTTATCCGGCACTTAAAAAATAGTAAGATTATTATCGCTAATTGGATGGTTTTCTCGAATTTTGTTCATTTTACTGACTAAGAAATAAATATACTGTTTTATATATATATATATATATATATAATATTCTATGATAAGGAATATCTCTCTCTCTCTCTCTCTCTTATCTCTATATATATATATATATATATATATATATATATATATTTTTATCTATCCTGGACATTGAGTTAATTTATTCTATTCTTGGAATTATATATATATATATATATATATATATATATATATATATATATATATATTGACCTAACTAACATGATACATTGTATTTATTTTTATTTAATAAAGGGAGTTCCACAAGCGATAAGTAATTTTAAAGAAACTGTTAGCATAGAACTTACGGTTATGGTAAAAATAAAAAAAAGTTGATGTAAGCAACGGATAGCTTGCCAAAACTTAAAACTCTTATCCAGATATAGTCTCCAATAAAAACTACAGTACTGAGAACAGAAAGAGAAAAAAGGCCTAAACGCAAACCTACCTACTCGAAGTAAAGTGCTCGACTGCCCAGATTGAGAAAAACAAAACAAAAAAAAATTTAACATCATTAAATCATATGGAAGGATAGCTCTAGTCGTAACCGGAGGTTCATTCTCACGCGGTTTTCAAATGACTTGAACTTGAGAAGATAATCTGCAACATTATTGATCCTCTCCTGGCATCCGGTCTTCACTCACTTCCTCACCAGCGCAACATGCATTTCCTATGATTATTTTCATAGTAATTGTTAACTGGCATGCTTTGCTTTCCTCTTTGATATCTCGTCTTGACGAATTTAAGCGTAGTACCAGATTGGCAGCAAGGTCTAATCATTATACTGTTGGCTTAGATGCAGCCATAAGTTTTCTGCTAGGAGTTGCTTCTCTCGTGCTCGTTTGTTGCTTCTCGCTTTCCTGTCAACTGCCATCATGAAATATTTAAATGCAACATAAATCGTTATCATCTGTCTTTTTAATTATTGAATCCTCGACTTATAAATTTTTTCACTCCTGTTTGGGTTTTAACAATTTTTATATCATCAACGTGACTTTATTGGAAAACATTGAACGGATTTCACACACACACACACATATATATATATATATATATATATAT